CTTTTTTTTAAACTGTATTTTGAGGTCTGGGGATTGTAGGTTGTTGTTCATGTAGTATCTGCATCTCCTGATTCAGGGCAAGAAGCTTAGATTTTTTTGGGAAATGTGGTAGCTGCCTGCTTAATAATAATACAACTGCTACCAATTTAAAAAGGTGTTTTACATTTTGTTTCATATTGATGATACTTATAATCGAACTTTGAGTCTGAATGTCTTAAAGTCCATATGGATTTCAGTTCCAAAATTGTGGCCTTGAGTAAGCCTTTAAGTCGAGCAGAAAGTTTAAACGGTATGTAGAAACACCTCTCCTGAAACTAAGAAAAGGAATCAATTTCCTATTTTAAACGCATGATTTCCTAAGCATTATTTTGTGTCTTGTTTTTCTCTGTTATAATCTGTTTGTTCTGTTTTAGACGGGGTCATCGAGGCCTAAATCGTGTGAAGTTCCGGGAATCAAGTAAGTTCTTGTTATATAAATCTGTAGGAATGCACGTAGGTAACTAGCTGACGGCACAGCTTCGCAAGCTGTGTTGATTTATGTTTTGTCCACACTGACGATGAAACAATGTTAATCAAGCTGCTCTTAACCTCTGAAAACACGATGAATTCTTTTGTTACTTCCAGCCTGATTTGCTCGGCCATGACAGCCCGAGTAAAAACATTGTAGAATGTTCTGCAGTGTTGCCAGATTATCCAGAAGCCATGTGATTAGACCCGAATCAAAGTGTTTGGCATGCTCCGTGTGTTGTTTCTTCTTAGTGCCTCCAATCCCAGTCTGTAAAGCAGGGAGCTATAAAGATCATTTGGATTGTTGGCAAAACATGTTATGTGCTGAAAGCCCCTCGGATCGTGAAATACCGAAAGAGGCCCCAGGATGTGTAAAACTGCCGTAGGTACAAGCAAAAGCCTGAGAGTTGCATGAGTTTCCCGTTACCTCTGAAGACCCTAAATTATGCACTTGGGGCTCATCTAGCAGACTCAACCAAATAATCCAACTTTTGTGGGGAGGGGAATGACTGTGACTGACCATTTATTTGGGTGTTCGTTGGCTGTGCGCACATCCCAGTCTTACTAGTCAGGCTGTTCAGCAGGCAAATCCAGATTTAACTTGATTACAAGATACAAGAGAACTGTATGTTGGCGTGACTGTTTTTACATGCACATCAAGCAGAACTAGTGTCACTTAAATAGAAGCACCTGAGGGATCCTAATCACCTTGCAATGCACAGTGTATCCCTCTGGTGTAAATAGGAAAGCAACTACACACAACTGAAAACCTGTTATCATGGGTAAATACTGATGCTCTCTAACACTGACTGTTGTAAATACCGTACATACATTTTAATTTTTTTCTGGAGAGCAGCTTCAGACAGACTTTACATCCCGCGGGAAGGGTGCATGTACATTAACGTTTCAGCTGACTTTTGCTGTTGTGTTTTCTTTTTCCCCAATGTAGCATCTTTCCATCAGCTGACCAAGAGAACACTACAACGCTGATTCCTGCCACACACAACACAGGCGGCTCCCTGCCAGACCTGACCAACATTCATTTCCCTTCTCCCCTCCCAACGCCACTGGATCCTGAGGAATCCACATTCCCAGCCCTGAGTAGCTCCAACAGCACCGGAAATCTTGCAGCCAACTTGACTCACTTGGGCATCAGCACTGCCAGTCAGGGTAATAACATTGTCATAGGACCCAACTGCAGTTTATCTGTCAGTAAAATGCCGTTTCCTGTCCTAATCATCTGTGCTGAAGATTAGCAGGCAGCTGCTTTGTTTCACTTGTGAGGTGATTGCATCTCACTGGTGGTCAAACTGATTTCTCTTAACAGCTCGCGTGAAGCATTTTGGATGAAGAAACATAAACCCGACATCGTTGATCTGTAATTTACATCCAGGCTTTAACATTCCCATATTCTTAGCACGAGTCTACTAATTCTGTTTGTATGAGTCTTCACAGGGGAGATGCAGTGTCGTAGATTTTGGCAGTAACTCCGCTCACTTAATGAGTCCCAGCCACACTGAATCTGCTAGGGAAACCTCTGGAACAGGCTCCTTGATATCTTGTTTCTAGTCTCTCTCTCCATTTGTTGGTATGTCAATTCTCTTGAGATATCGCATCATTTGTTTTACCTGAACCAAACGTGGGCTGTTAGGCAACTGAATAAACATAGAAGTCCCTAAAATATATTCTAGTGGGGAGCATTTGTTAGCTTGACTGCTTCATTTTTAGGAGATCCTAAGTACTCCAGGCTTTCGGGGGTGATGAAATGTTAAGGTATACGCTTATCATCACCCTGACCCATGTTGGCTTTATGTTCCATCCAGCTTCCTCTTTGAGTGGTGCCCTCCAGGATGTGAGCTGCTTTTCATGCAGAGGTTTTTGTGATTGTGCAGAGCTTAGCCAGGAGAGCCTTTACAACTGTGGGGCCGTTGGGCTTTGCTGTACTACAGATCATTAAAAATCCTGTTACTTGCTACACTGAAAAAAATGCCTCTGGACCAGTACAAATTGTATTGTGTTTTCAGGACCAGTAAACTTTTTAAAGCAAATGGCCCAAACCAGTTTTCATAAAGAAAAAAGTATCTTTAACTTGGGTTTTATTTTATTTAGAAGTAACTCCAGTTGCCTCAGCAGTTAGACACTGAAAACACTAGTAGGAAAGAAACAGCATTTTTGTAAGGCACCTGCCCAAGGGGCACTAAATGACTGCTGCCAGCATAGCATTCATTTCCTTGTGTAAAGCTTTCCTGGTTGTACTGTGCTCTTCTTTCTCCTTTTTGCATAGTCCACCACTGTTGAGCCATACTATTTGCATATAATTTCAAAAGATGCAGAGGAACGGAAAAAATAAAGGGAAGGGACATGGACTGGTCATGAGATGAGACAAAAGACAGGGGTTCAGCATGTGGTATTGATACTTGTATGGGGAAGATGAGCAAAAGGAGTTCGTTTCCTCGTTGGAAACAAGGAGGTATGTGAGGTGAATGAAAGATGAAGAGGATGGCAACTGGAGAATGCCAGTTGGATAACATTGAACGAGATCTGGGAAAACCTTGCATTGCTTGTAGCTAAGTAAATTCTTTTAAAGTTTGTCCCTGATGGCTGGAGGTAATGAGCAGTGCCCGAGAACCTGGCAGCATGCAGTTGGGTCTTGAATCGTGTGTGAATGGGGCCAGGAACCCAAAACCTTGTGGCCCAGGAGCTTGCAGCTCTTTTCCAAGTTGTGCTGGAGGGCTGGTGCCTTGGGGCTGTTTTGTGTAAGCTTAATCCAAGAATTCAAAGTCTGGTGGCAAAATCTTGAGCCCTCCTGAATGCAGCGCTTCAGGATATAGTTGGGAATGTGTGCAGGTTAGACGGCATCTTGCAGTTTTACTGTAGGTGATTGAAACTTGTAGGAATCATATGAGATGAGCAAATCTGGAGGTTGCTTGCTGCTTTGTGTTGTGACCAGATGGGAGTCATTGGCTCATAAGGGTGTTTGATTTCTGAATGTGGTTTAGGAATTCTGGATGGCCGATACCCGTGTATATTTGGTGGAGCTGTAAAGCTGTGTTTTGAAGAAACCGGGCTGTTTAGAGTGTGGTGCCTTTTCTCCATCATACTTTCTAATGTTTGGCTATTGATGATACAGGATTTTTTCTTTGGTGCCAGTGATGTCAAGATGTCTTCTTGGACATTCAGTTAGTTTTATTTTCTTTTATAGAGTCCTTGCGTTCCAATTTGATTGCGTATTTTACATGGAAAGCTGTCCTCTGCTTTGTAATGCCTCTAGAACAGTTCCTTTATCGGAAACTGTCTGCCTGTAATTCTTTGTAGATGGTATCCAGGAGAGCAGTGGTTTTCAACCTGTGGTCTACAGACCCTTAGGGATCTGCAGACTGTGTCTAAGAGGTGTGCGAAATGGCTGTGATCAATCAAAAGTATGTGAATACCCACGCTTACAATTCAAAGGGGTCTGTGCTTCCAGTCAAAATTTTTTAGGGGTCCGCAGATGAAAAAAGATTGAAAACCATTGCTCTAGAGCTGAGCTGTGTTTGTCCACCCACCAAGCTGTGTGAGCTGGGGTTTGAAACATCCTCCTGGTAGGGTGATACCAATGCAGAGTTTGGCTCTTCACTTTGCTCCTGAGCTTGATTAGGCCCTGTTCATTTAAACTACTAGGGTCCATCAAGGACCTTGACATTGCAGGCTCCAAGTGGCTTTTGGAAGAGGGGTTCTAAATAGTCCATCTGTTCTCTGGAGCTTTATCCATTCCAGGGTCACCTTGTGATACCCGAACACCAAGATGAACAGCCAGTTTTCTTCTGAGGCCATATTTGCGAGTGGTACGGGGCTACATTGGGGCTCTGAGCAGTTTGATCATCTGACAGTTACAATAAGAGAGAACCATTGTGTGACTGATCACAGTCCATAAAAAAGTGTGTTGTACTTTGTTGAGCAGAGCACTCTGGAAAACTGTTTTTTAAATATTCTCTGCTAGTGTACTGAGAAGCTGGAAGAATACAAAGCAAGTGGATTTGATCTGTACATAAGCTATGACTATATGTGTATATATGTAATATAAATATTTTTAAAGTCTGCAGTAAGAATACAGTTCCAAGTAGTTTTATTTGCTGATGTGCTGAACTTGTCTTTGCTTGAGGCCATACAGAAATCAACAGCATTCAGCTCTTCAGCAAGTTGGCTGGTCTCGGCTGATCATCTGACTGTTGCATTTGAAATCAGTGGAGAGTTGCCAGCAGTTGGCCTCCATGCAGTTACACCTGTGCTGGCCTATATGAAGTATAAGGGAACTAGTGTTTGTTACAAGGAAACAAACTCCTTTCCATGGAGTTAGGCCAGGTCTGATTGCCAAATCCCTTGCATACTCCATTATTAGGAAAATAAATAGTACAAAACCAAGCCGTTCAGTACGTGATTGTCTATTCCAAAAGCATTTCCTGATCCAGGTTTGAAGCCAACTGTAGAAATTAGCTGGGGCAAAGATCTGTCCCTTTTCTGCTTTCTCCTCATCACCCAGTGCTGGTTTGCTTTTTCTTGCACGCACTTGTCCTCCCTCCTGTCTAGACGGACACATTTGAAGCATTGGGGGGTTCTGTTTCTTGCTTTGAAAATTTGCACAGTTTAACTAGGGATAGAGGCAAGATTTTTTTCCCCTAGCACTCTGTCTCCATTTCCTTCTCTTATTATTCTTCCTGCTATCCAGATGAGACTGTAACAAAGCTATACTCTCTCGACTGAGCCTTTCCCATCAGCTTTGCTCATTGCTCATGTCTGTGCGTTATATGCACTTGCAAATGAGCACATGTCCTCAGAAGCCCTGGGGAAAGTAGAGGAAACCACCTGTTGGGATTTATAGAACTGCTCAGAGAAATGTAGATCTGCATGTTTTTCCACCAGAACATGTTGATTCACTGAAGTTCCCCAAGACCCTGCTGACTGTTGTTCTGTTGAGAATCGGGTTTCAAGACCTGCTTGGTTTCCCACCAGAGAGCCTCTAGATCTTTGGCAGCCTGGGCTTCCTGCCCCTCTGAAGCCCTCCTAGCAGGCTTGGGTTGGAGTTCTCCAAGGAGCCTAGGATGCGTTCTGCCCTTCCACACCTGGCTTCCTCCTGTGCAGGGAATGTCTCTTTCCACTGAGCCGGTTTCCTTTGGTACATTCTTTCAGTGGTTCTTGACCTTTTCAGGGACATGGCACCCCTCCGCCACCTTTTTGAATCTGGCAGCAATCTTGTATGAGAACCGCTTTGTTCAGTACTGCTTCTGTGTGGACCTAGATGTAATGAGAGGTCACAGCCCTGTGCCTCAGCCCCTTGGAATTGCAGTCTGTCTGGGAGGTAGAAAGACCGTGGATACGGCGGGTACAGAGATTGCACCTGGTCCCCTAGGCAAAGCAGTTCAGGAGTCGGATGCACATTCCCTACCGTGTTGCTCCGTTCTCCACCCTCTTTGTTTTCTTGCCAGTTGCTCTCTGGAGCTTCAAGTCCAGAGGTGAACATGGTTGTAACCGGTTGCCCGGAGTAGTTTGTCTCTTCTCCCCCCTGGGTCTTTTTTTTTGCAGTAGCCAGGTATTCACAGCTCTTGTTTTGTCGTCTTTTCACCCTGATCTGTCACTGCACACCCAGAATTGTTAACACGTGTGGTTAGTTTTAGTCAAGTTCTTCTAAGTTGACTTCTCCCACTACTTTGGGGAGGGGGAGGGTTTGGGTATTCTCTCCAGCTGGCCAAGAGCTCTGAAACTCAGGTGCCCAGGAACAGAGTGCTGTTCAAGATCGTTTCAAAGCTGCATGGAAAAAGAGCTTCTACCCTCCTTTCTTCATGCGAGTACACTTGAAATTACATTCTGTGGCTTTGAAGGTGGAACAGTCTGATTCAAAGGCTCTGGCAATCTCTTGGTAGTCTTGCATCTCATAACTTCCAGCGGGTACAGAGAGCCCTTTGTCATAATTAAAAATGGAAAACACCCCTTCCATTAATGTTCTACCGTATTTCTGTGAGTGCTGCATTTGTTCCACTCTCTCAAGGATGAGCTGGAGTTAAAAACATGAAGTAAAGGTCAAAGTAAATACAGAGCCTTGACAAATCTTACCTGGTAAGAATTATACATAGAAGCAACCACATCTCATCTAATGCCGTTAAGTTTATAATGAAAACCACTTGTGTGTCCAACTCATTTATACATGAGGACAAATCTGTTACACTTAAACATGAATCTCTTTCTTGCTTTGTCCTTGTTCCTTGCCTGCCAGTTGTGCCATTTCCCTCTGACATATGCAGCATGGCTGAGTTGTTCAGTCTGGTCAGTGGAAGCGTTGTTTGGGATTCTGTGGCATTTGGTCAGTGGAGAGAGATCACGGGATTATATTGTGTTGCAGGACAGATCCTGTTGGTCCTGACAAAGCAGACGACGTGCAGTCTTCCAACATGAGATTACTTGTTTCATCTTCATGAGGGTCTGAGAAGAGAACAGCTTAGCATTCAACAGCAGCCTCTCCAGTGAATGTAAAGAGTATTTACTGGTAGTTGGAGCAGGAGTCTGGGGGTTGGGACTTTCAGGTTCAGCTTCCAGCACTGCAGGTTTTCATATTTCTTTGACCTTGAAAAATATCATTTAACCTCTATGCCATGATTTGTCCAGTGATTAAATGGGCATAATTCCTACTGCACTGGGAAGCAGTTTGTGTTTGTTAACATCCTGAAGTGATCTGAGATCTGATTTAAGAGTGCAGGCATGGTACAAACTCAGGAGCATCTCTAACAGGTGTTTATGCAAAGCACTGACACTCGCCTTCCCTGCTAACCTGACCTCATCTCTCAGTAACGAGAAGATCCCCCCTGCAACGCAGGTACTTGCAGGTGACTTGGGCAAGCAGGTTTTTTCTGTCCAGGTCTTCATATTTGTGCTATGTATGAGCATCATTACATATGGATGCATCTCCCCACATACTATAGGGAGACTGTGGAGGGCTTTACTGATGTCTGTTCAGCACTTGACATTCTTTGAATGAAAGATGCCCTAGGGAGAACAAGTATGAACGAGCAGAAATGCCTGCAGCCATAGGGAATCTACTTGATATGGAAAAATTAGCATCCACAACATGGGGCCTAAGAAGTGGCGAGAATATGAAACTGTGATAATGAGCTTTTTGGGAGCATGAGATGAATGTAAAAAATACCTTTCTCTGCTGTCTCAGGCAGGTAAATTGTGGCACTGCTAGCACTAGTTTGCTGCATGGCAGTGCAATGACTTCACTTGCTCATGGACATTCACATTTAGTCTCTTCAGTTTTAGGGATGCTAACGTTCAGTGTGTGGGCTACTTAGAAAGGGATCATCTCGGAGACCTGCTTCCCATTCCTTATACCAAAAACCCCATCACCCACTTCTCAGAATGTTTCTTTCACTTCGTTCTGCAAATCATCCAGAAAGGATCTGCAAATCAGTTGGAGAACTGTTGGGCTAATTATATGGCAGCATCCATATGTAAGCATATGTGATCAGTAGGCACCTGCCACTGCAAAATCCAGTCCAGAACTGCTAAGAACTTCTGCCCAGGGCCCCTTTCAGGCCATGTTTTCAGTACTTCTGTTGTAAGCGGTTGTACATTTCAGCTGTTCTTGATTCATAACGTTTTCATATCAGCTAATCATTACTGTAAACAGGCGCCAACAAATCATTGCCACCGGTCCCATGTAAACGTGTTTCTTCCTCAATGGCAGGAATGGCAACAACGCAAGCCTCTTCCCAGCAGCATCGGCAGCCGGCTGTCAGTCCCCTCTCATTGAATGCAGACTCAAGACGGCCACAGTCCCAGCAGATGTCTCCCACGCTCTCCCCTCTGTCGCCAATCACACAGGTAGGAGGCTGCTTGCCAACCTGGGGGAAGCAGCACGCTCAGAAGGGTAACGAACCTGATTCCAGGACATAATGTTTCAGAGCGTAGCTGGCTGCTTCGTACTGTGTTTACATCTAGGAAAATGTTGGCTGCAAGACTGGTATGGCCCTGATTGCAACATTTTCTTAGAAATGTCCCTTTTAGTGATGTCCTGTTCTTTTGTTAATAAAATGTTCTGTGGCTGTTGCCGGTGAGCTGTGTTAAAACAGCTAGCAACAAGGCTTATTTGACTCCACAGAAATATATTCATGTGTTCTCTCAGATATGGGCTGCAGTGGCAGAGCGGTTAAGGCATCTGTCTTTGGCTCAGAGATGAGTTCAACACCTGGCCTCGGGTCATGCCAAGGGTCTTCCTCAGTTGATCCATCTGTAAATGGGTATCTGCTCAGTGGCTTGGAGTCAAAGGCAGTCAGACGTGATAGTAGCCAAATCGCTTCCAGTAACTTTTGGCTAAAGAAATTGGTATACCTTAAGCACATGAGCCTTATTGCTAGGGGGCTCAGGAGGATCATGGGATTGACTTAATCTGTTAGAGAGTGGAAGAAACATTTTGGGAAAGTATAGATTTCACTTTCTCTCTCCTGAGGCTGTGATATAAGCAACACGAAGGACAACATTTTCTTTTAAAGATACTGTCACAAGGTTGCATGCTTCATTGCTCTTGGGTTTTATGCTTCATTGTGAATCGTGTAAGAAACACCTGTAGCTCCTAAGAGTGGCCCAGACCCCAGGCTCTGCCCTACATAGCATGCTCTGAGGGGGCTCCTGAAAACCGCTGACCCAACGTGGGGAAGTCCACAACAATATTAATTCAAAATCCTAAACTTAGGTGTCTTATATTAGTCTCTTAAAATGCATCTTTGAATGTGTAAATGCCATAGCCAGGGTAACTTTCCAAATGGCCTGAGAGACCCCGAGGGTTTTAGACACTTGATGTGAAAGTTTTAAGCATTTCAGAAATGACCAGAACTCTCTCTAGCCCGTGTGTTTTCCTGTTCTTCTCGTTAAGGCTGTGGCGATGGACGCATTGTCTCTGGAACAGCAACTTCCACCATACCCATTTTTTACACAGACAAGTTCACAGCAACAGCAGCAGACCCAAGTGGCAAGTACTCTGCCTCAAAATACCCCTTTAATGCAGACCTCTGGTTTACAGCGAGGAACACAGCTTCCCCCACTCTCAGTTACGGTACCTTCCACCATCCCACAGTCACCTCCAGGCAGCCAGAGCCAGCCTTCAATGGGGATAGACATCACCTCGGTAAGCTTTTGAACTGTGACTGAAGACGATATCATTGGAAACAAATAGCTGTCTTCCAGAGAAAGCAGTGTCAGCCTGTGCTGTCAGAGTTTGAACTAGGCAGCAGTTGTAATGATTATATATTTAGGCACTTTCTACCCTGGACGTGACCACAGATTACTTGAATCGATCTAACGCTGTTTAAACATAATGCCTTAAAAATCATTTAAGCACATGATGGCCAACATATGGAATGGCCCAAACTATTGTTTAAACCATTGAACATGGTTTCTGAAACACTTGGTAGGATGGATGTGACCCAGATTTAGGCTAAGATAAAATAATTTTAACATGTTAGTTTTTTTTTAAACTGAAAAGCTCAAGGTTTGGGTATATAGCCTCTGGACTGGATGTCAGGAGAAACCCAACAAAACAAAACAACCAAAGATCTTTGTCTTGGCGGTGACAGGCTTTCTGAGCAATTCTAAGCTGACGCGTCTGAGCTTGAGGTGTAACATGTTGGAAGGGCTTAAGAAGCAGCAAACAAAACCCAGATTCCTCTTAGACAACACCTCTGCAGTTCTGGGTGCCCTCCACCTTTTTACAAGGAGAGATGCGGGCATGTTCAATTAGCGCCATAGTTTTATATGACAGTGGAAAACAGTAATGAACCAGTTATGGACAGGCTGACTTAAAATGCCATTTTAGCACCAGCTGTGTCTGTAAAGTGAGAAGAATCCTTTAAATTTGGCAAGCCTTAAATGGTGAAAGCCTACAGCATTTATGTGCATGGGGGAAGGCTGGGGTTTCATAAAACTGAAACACATTTATTTTACGGTGCCAGAACTGAGTTGGTTCAGATTAATTTTGAGACAGCAATGTGTATATCCTCATGCTCCTGGAACAAGTTACCTCTTTCCAGATTTGCATGCGTGGTGGCCTTTTGTCCCAGGGTCGGTTGGTGTCCCCCGGTGGTTTCTCATTCAAGACAAGAAGATATCGGAACTTTGAAAAAGAAAACTATGCTGAGGAGGGTTTTCAGTGGACTCGCAGAAAGCCAGACAAACTGTTTCTGAATCATTGCACTTTAAGAGAAAGACTTGGACCAGAGTTTGTTTCTTAGGGGAAGTAGGATTTGTTTTATTTGCTTTTAGGTCTCTGAACAGAAAAACCAAAATCAAACTTAGTATATGTACATGTGGTGGTAATTCAGGGGCAGAGAAGAACTGAGAAACCAAAACATTTCTATTGTAAAATTGTTGTCTCTTCCTACACTGGAATCCAGATTTCTGAGGGTGCTTCAGGATACCAGGCCAGCTCTGAGATGTCCTGTAGCTAGAAGGGATACGGGACACGTTCTTTGCTGCTTCTCTTTTCTTGCTCTGAGTGACAGTGACTTGTTGGCACTGATTCCAGTGGAACATCTGTCCCCAGCAGTGCAGCTGTTTGGATCACGAGAAGGAACCATTGCAGTACAGAGGGACAGATGGGAAAGTGGGTTTGTTGTGGGGATTGAGTTTGAACGGATTGTGCTGGTAAACGGTACTGCTTCTTGAAAGAGGTTGCTTCTCTTAGGGTAGGGTGAAGATGGAAGTCAAGGGCATTGGTTACCAAGTGGCAGCCAGTGAAAACCGCAGCCAGAACATTCTGGTTCCCTGATTTTTGCAGTAACTAATACAGAATATTCTGTTCTTCATTCTCTGCTTTCCACGTTGCTTTCCTCATCCTAAAGAGCTTTAAGCCCTTAACATTCAGGATACTAAGTCTGTCTACAAAACAGCTGAAATGGTGCACATGTAAACTTGGATTGTTTTAAAAACTACTTCTACGCTACAGTGCTGTCTCATGGAAAGCCTTTGCATTATCCCCTCCAGACCCATTGAGGTCTGTTTGGTGGCATCTTGTTACAGTACTTGTATCCTGTGGGTCTTCAGAAAACGCTTCTTGGGAAGCGGAACTACACTTGATCTGCGCACTTGAAGCGGTGCACAAGATGCTAAGGTAGCACGTCCCCCTGCTGTAAAGCTATCTGATTAAATTACCCTTTGCTCAGACTTCTTGGACTACAGCTTTTTCTGCAAATCATCAAAGCCTGCCTTGTAGAAAGCTCCATTATTTAAATTGAAGCAGCTGCATTGTAGCTGTTTGAGTTTGTGTGGGTGCTACCTCGGTTCCTCAAATCTAGGTCCATTACGCACATATAAATATGAACGTGTCTTACGTTATTAAGATTGAAAACCATAAAACTATAGGTGGCATTACCCTAAAAATACTAGCTGGAATCTTCAGGCAGTGTTTGGTGCAGTGGGAAAGTATGTAGTTGCAAAAAGGTTCAGTTACTAACCTTCTTCTAGTTAATACAGCCAGACTCATTCTTTAAGCTAGTAAAGAACAATGCTAATATCACTTTGCTAAGGGCGGTTGGCACAAATTAATATGTGAAGAGGGCAGTAAATTTAAGAGGCTAAAAATGACATTATCTTAGAAGACCTCTCTTTCTGCAATGAGTGTTGGCTGGCAGGATTAAAAAAAAATGAAAATAATAATTTTCCCATATTTGACAGCCCTGTCCTGCCTAGTTAGAAACCAGACCATGACACGTTTGAATCTCGACCCTCCTGTTCGGGGCATTTTTTTACAGTACTAGTGTCACTGCTGATATCCTAGAGCTGTTGAAGGTGGTCTCGCCCAGCTTCCCTAAGCTGTACACCAAGAAGTAGATAACGTTTCAACCTTCCATCAATCCCATGGTCTTTAATTCTGTGTTGTTCTGTAGGCGTCACTCCAGCAGTACCGCAGTAATGCTGGATCCCCAGCCAACCAGTCTCCCACCTCTCCTGTCTCCAATCAAGGCTTCTCTCCTGGCAGCTCCCCTCAAGTAAGGGACTCTGCGCTTCCACAGGCCTTGCTTCTTGTGTGTGTTTTTAGTTGAGTCTCTCCATTACTGACCCATGGTTGTCTCACTTGTAACTGTATGTGCCTCATGCATCACTGATGTCTCATCCTGTTCGCAGTTTCATTCAGATACAGAGTTTTTCAATAGCTGGTGAATTAAGACTTTTTTTTTATTTATTTGATGCTACCGCTAAACTTTTTTAAAGTTCAGATTTCTTCTCTGTGGGGAGCTCAACAAAACCAAGCATCCAGAAAGGTCCCTTACAGCAAAGGGAATACTGGCCCTTGGGATGCTTATGCCTCCATTGGTTGACCAGGTGGCAGGAGTAGGAAGTGGGGTCTGAGTGAATGTTTAAGGCTGGAGAGAGAAAGGAGCAGGCTGGTTTTGCATGTCTGCTGCCCCTCAACACCACTCGCGTCACCCAGTGCAGGCACACCAGGAGCTGCTTGATGAGAGAAACACATCCTTCGAAAGAGACCCCTGTAGGAAATCGCTTAGAGAAGGCAGTTGCCAGATCTCACAGCTGGGAAATGCCAGAGTAGATTGTCAACATTAGTCTTGCAGGGTGGCTGTTTTCCCATCGGTGTAAAGATGAATACATGCATAAGTCACACATGCAAAATCATTGTGCATCTCTTTAAACAGATCAGTGGGAATTTTAATGCACCCACAGTGGGGCACTTCAGAAATAATGAATTGCTGTTTTTTGTAGTGTTGCCGATCAGCTGGAATGAGCTAGTACGGCCCATTTTCAGTGGCAAAAGAGTTTAGGACTAAAATAAGTGGAAGTCGCTACCTTTCCTGGATCCCAGCCGCGGCAACAGGGTGTATGAGGCTCTCACTGGGCGGCACTGCAGGATCTGACCTTCCATTTCCTGTTTCGGTTTTTACTTGGAAAAGGGGATATTTCATAGGTTTTTTTCATCTTTTTTTAGGGGCTGGAAGGGATCTTACAGATCATCAGGTCCAGCCCCCAAACATCTGAAGATAATTAAGATAAATGTTTTACCTGTTTTGATTTCAAAGTCAGTGTCAGTTCTCGCTGCCAGGAGCTCATTTTGGAGCTGAGTGATGTAGCTGAGGGTCAGGGCTGTCAGTGTGGATTGTCTTAACCCTCATATGACTCCCACTAAAACTCCTGTTTCTTCTGCCTGCTTCTGCTAACTCTGCCGTGTCTGTCTGGCTCCGTGTAGGCAGCAAAGGAAGGCTTGTTTTTTGAGGCTGCCATTGGGTCAACGCTGCAACCAGTCTGTTGGCAATTTGTGGTGTGAGAACTTACGTTTGGGCGAGTTTGGGGCTGAATTTTGGCCCCAGTGGAGAATGGGTCCATTATTGAACAGTCGCTCGGTATTTTCTTTCCTGTGTTCACAGGCATGTTACCTCCAAACAGCCAAAACCTTTTGAATGTGGCAGCCTCTTGCCAGGGGGTATCCCCTGTCCAGCCAGACTAGATGCACTCCCTCTGGCATGCATTGGCTTCACTGTGTTTGAGAAAGGGCTGTGTGGTTGCTGCGCAGTGCGGACGGAACTGGGGTTTAGTTGCATTATCCACTTTTGTCTTTGGTCTCTTAAACTCATTTTCACATTTAGATATTTGTGAGAGTCCAGCTTATAAAAAAATCATAATGCTGGGACTTAATTTGCTAAATCAGCAGAACTGAAGCTAAATTGGCTAAAATAGGCACAATGTATTTTGGTATCTGGAACAGAACAAAAACCACTCAGTGCTGCTGAATTAGGAGGCGCGCTTTCCCTGCCCTGTCAGGTAAGCAGCAGGTGGGCGTGGAAGAAGATGAGTATAGCTACGGTTGGAAGGTTGTGAACACTAAGGAGAGGGATGAAGATGCAGGGTGAATATTTGGCTTGTGGGGAAGGGGAGAACGTCAGATCCTGAGACTGAGGTAGTTCAACAGGAGAAGAGGACAGAACATCCTCAGGGGAGACACTGGAAGGTGCTGATGATGTAGTAGAGGCTGGAAAAGGGAGGGTGATCTAGGGGTGACTTTCTAGACCTCCTGTTGCCTTTTATCCAGCTAGTTTTAGGGAGACTGTCCTGCACAGCCCCTAGCGATGTAGTATATGCTTGCAGGATATGCCTTTTGATTGCCACACCTTGTTCATGCAACAAAAAATATTCCTTGCCTTCTCCCAGCCTGAGGTCTGGTATCTCTTTGGTTCCAAATGCTCATTTTTGATTTCTAAGGAACTTTCCATTGAGACATGAATTGAAAAGCTCTGCGTGTGGTCCCTAGCTCTGTGTTTGCATGGCTCTTCATTAACACTGGCTTGTTTATTGCTCCTTGTTTTTCCTAGCACCTGACACAGTCTCATTAGATTATGAAGTTGCTTTTTTTAGTAGAACAGCTGAATACGGGGAAAAATGGTATGTATTTTTAGCCTATTTACGCTAGGGTTTTCTTGCAGTCACCACATCATTAACCCAAGAAGATACACTGTTGACAAAACAGACCTCATGTACCGTTTTCATAAGAGATGTGGCTGGCAAGATATTTTTCGAAGACTAGCTAATAATTTATTCTGAGAACCCTGAAGTGTTGAAGTAATGACATTTGTAGTTGAGAGTGGGGGCATTTTATGAATTAGTGCATCTAAGAGAAATGAACACGGGTTGCTACAATGGAAGAGCTATTCAGATAGACTTGCACAATGGAATTACTTGTCACGTTATTTCAGGCCTGTCTTAGGAAAGGAACATTGCTAATTGGAACAAGAGTTTTTTCTTACGTTTGAAAAGTTTCTATAAAATGGTGAAAGTGAGAGAGAGAACCGGTGCAGTGTTCTGTTCGAGCTGGCATTTCTAATGATAATTCCAGATTGGTGCGAGTTGTTCATATTGAGAACGCAACTTGCCGAGTTTAAAATTCATTGCTAGCAATGAATGTGCTGAGAAATGTCAGCAACCAGTGATACAGGGAGGTGTGAATTTTACACTGGAAATTCCAAGTTTCATGTATTCAGACAAAAAAAATCCCCTCTTCTGCAATTATGGCAGCTATTGGAAACCACAAGAATTATCCCTCAATAGTTAAATTGGTTGGTCCTAACTTGCCTGCTCATGTTAGCTGTATGCTTGCTCTTGGTTGTTGCAGGTAGTGATCTAATTAATTCAGGGAGGTTGTATTTTGGTGAGTAGCTGTTAGAGAGATTGCAGATCGAAGGGTGTCATAGTACAACAAGTGAAACATTGCTAGTTAAGCACAATGACTTTTATTTTTTAAGTGCAATTTACAGCTAAGCAAAGAACCAGCATTTTCCTGAGCTCCTTGCAATCGCTCTGGCCTCCACGTGGTGATTATCTTGTAGCCCATGCTCGCTCTGGTGAGTGAGCCACGGCAGTCTTGAGCCCAGGACTGGCAACTCTAATGTGAAGATTTTTTTCCCATCTTCCAACTCTCTGGGAAGGTTCGGAGATGGGTCTTTGATCCCACGGACTATTTATTGTACTATGGCCTGGGCTGTGGTATCTGATGAACAAACAGTGAGGGGCAGTGAAGCCTCATGTCTGACATGCTGAGTACAGCCTACCAGAGAAGCATTTAAAGAGAAAAGGTATTTTATTTTTAGCTTGACTTGAATATAATTTTGCTTAAGAAAGCACGAAAGAAGAATTTTGAGACGTCCCGTTCAAGTATAAATCAATAGGTGGAGTAGGATTATTCCGTGAGACAAGCTGTAAGATGCAGTTACAAAGAAGATGGAAATAGTCCTGTGCCCCATGGCCTTAAGATGATACTGCCTTAAGATGGGGGCTGGACTAGCCGGTCTTTTCCAGCCCAAATTTCTAGTGGTTTGGTAATATTTCTCTGTTACTCCTGTTCTTGGCTGAGGGGTCCTGAATCTGATTTAAGGAAGAGCTAGCTTCATTTAACAGGAGGCCAGTTCCTTAGTTGACCAGAACCAATGTGATCAGAGCATCCTTTCGTTTCCCTGCTTTCGCCCAGCACAGCAGCCAGGTGCTCAGTGTGCTGGAGGGCGCGGAGCCGTGCACCGTCTCCCTGCATTGTGGCGGACTTGTGTAGCCTGCCTGCTGTCTGGGACGTGAGTAGTGATTTCTGCTCTCTCGGGGCACTCAAGCTATGCTCCCCACATGCAGTGGCACAGCACTCGAGGTACTTAGAGCAGCTGGGAGTCCAATCGGAGCTGTTAAGCAAGACCTTTTGACTATATGTTAGGTAGCACGCTGAATTTTCAATGTGCTTTCCTTTTATAACATGGGCTCTCGACTTCTCCATGGATGCCACAGTAACTCAAGATTAATGCAGCCTAATATCAGAAGATCTTCCCAGGAAGTCCCCATCTCTTCCTTTGAGAAAGAAGTGTTAGCGTGTTTGCTTCATGAGTGTCCTCTTCCAAACACAGCTGGATGGCTGGTTTTAAAAAACAACCCAACTAATCCCGTTGATGCTCTTGGACAATAGAGTCTGTCACACATATTTGTTGTGCCGTAAGGAAGTGTGTTTCATGTGAGATGTACTCCGACTTCTTTTAACTGTTTGCTGTTTTGGGCTTCATCCTGTGCTTTAAGTACTTTGCGACGTTGCCGTGTTAGTCTGTTAGTTGGTGTAAGTATATATTCACTAATTAGGCATTTGCTTAACTTCTTGCCATTCAGCTTTCCAGGGGAAATGACCTGTTTTAGCTTTGTGTTGAACTTCATCTGTGTAAAGCTCTGGAAAGTACAGTCAAACGCGGGCATCTCCAGAGCAGAGACAAACTTCCTATGCGAGCTGTCTATAGAGACTCCATTTTTGTGGAGGATTTTGAGGGAATTGATGAGATGAGAGAGGGAATTTCTCCTGTAACCCCTGTCTCTCGGTTGTATCCACTAACCCTTTTGAAGTAAATAGAAGAGGAGCAAGGTGTTGGGGGGGGCAAATCCCATTTTATAATCTGTTGGTCAGCCTCAGAATGACAGATTGATAACTAGGCATTGTAGCATCCGCGAAAAAGCCAACCCTGCCATAGTTAGAGCTTGTCCTGGGAATCTCGTCCCTCTTGTACTGCTGAAAGCACCCGTCTCATGCAGGCACTTAGCTGCTCTTGGAATGACATGAATCCTGTAAGCTCAGGTTTACTTTAGCACGCTCTTGTCTTCCTTAAACTGTCGAGCCTAGAAATATCAGGCGAGGCGGGTAGCCAACAAGCCATGCCTGTGCACTGCTGACAAGCTATTACATGGGCTGTTACTGTGTGCACTCAGCCATCTGGGCTGTATCTGGGGCATTTATCCTTTTATTTAAGGGGCAAACACCAACAAAAAAAACAGCTTGTTTTATTTTTGTGCAGAAATTGAAGGGTGACTCTTATTACTGGGGATATTTACCCCAATTCTGTTAGAAGCAGATGTTTTTCCGTGTCCTCCCTGTCCAGGAGTTCATGATTTCCAGACTCTCTTTTTGTGCTGGAGGAAAGGAGATGTATTCAGACATCTGACAGGCGAGCACAGCATTTTCTTAATGCTCTCGTTGTTAGATTTCTTTATTAAAGAAAGGGCAGTTTGTGACCAAATTTGAAGCCAATGAGTTGACAGAGTTCACTCCCTCGCCATGGGTCTGCCTGCTTGTTTGTGAGACTCTCACGCCATAAAGACTCTGTTTTGTTTTCAGCACTCTTCCATTCTGGGCAGTGTATTTGGTGACTCCTATTATGATCAGCAGATGACAGCTAGGCAGGCTAATGCCCTATCCCATCAGGTGAGCAAATTCATCTCAGATTTTGAACTGTTTTGGCCACCCTGACAGTAAAGGATGCATATAATTCAATTTGCAGCTAGTCTAATGTAACATTACTGTCTGTGTCGTTTTATTCCCGTTGTTTTAGTCTGCAGCTACACAGGTATTTCATTTTTTCTCTTCCCCCTAGGCATTATAGCAGCTGATTTTTTTTAAAGGTACTCTGCCAAGACGGCTAGATTAGAAAGAAGCTCCACCTTCCCTGACGGTAGTCCCCTGTGGGAAGGCTTCACTTGGTGGGTGGCAGGAAAACACAGCTCTGTAATTTGCAGCCAACCTGTGTGCAGCCTCTGAATTTGAACAAGCAAGTCCCGTGTCTGTCAGTGAAGTCACCAGCGTAGTCGCCCCTTCAGCTGTGACACGTGTCATTGCAGCCAGAGGGTGAGGCAGCTTCTCAGTGGGACCGTGCTTGAGTTGGCAGATACCGGCCTCACTAGCATCCAGCAAGGGTCTCATTTTTTACTTTATTTTAAAGGGAGTTTTTAGGGCCAAGGTTTAGCGCCCAGGTAGGACACTGTAGGCAACAAGCAGCTAAAATGGGCGGGTATCTGTTCAGCACTAAGTGGAAAGCAGCCCTCTTTGATCTGCCAAACCTAAAGATGAATTTGTTTGCCTGTCTTTTCTGAAAATGATCTTCCAAACGAGAGGCTTTAAACTGCTTCACTGTGTTTCCTGATGCTCAGAAGTAACAATTCCTTTGTGCCTTGGTCTTCAGCTTGAACAGTTTAATATGATAGAAAACGCCATTAGTTCCAACAGCCTGTACAGCCCGTGCTCCACCCTTAACTACTCCCAGGCAGCTATGATGGGCCTTACTGGGAGTCACGGCAACTTGCAGGACTCGCAGCAGCTGAATTACTCCAGCCATGGAAACATCCCCAACATCATCCTTACAGGTAAGGCACTTACCGGCTCCGGGGAGAGGGGGCGAGTAAAGCTGTCCTCTAGTGCTGGCGATCCACTTGTGCTGCATGATATGCCCAGTCGGCAGGAGAAGGGAAGCATCTTGGTGCCTGTGGAGGTCACGTTCGCTGCGTACAAATAAGCGAGTCGTGTCAGCCGGACACCTTTTGCCTTGTGGCTTGACCTCCTGTGTGGCCGCGGGAGCAGACGCTACACGCAGTGACAGTACTCGTTGCCGCCCTCCTGTCCGTAGGTGCGTGAGAAGAGCCCAGCCTTTATGGCCCTCAGGTTGTGTGCTGAGGCTTTGCCCCAAGAGGTTTGATATTCGTGCGACTGCCATGGTGGCCATCTTTGTGGGTCAGCTCAAGCAGGACCCAGCTTGAGTTTCAGTTTTAAGATGCTTGAATAGTATCATGTCCTTTACAATGAGGCTTTTGAGCATGCTTTGAACCTGCAGCTCATGCAGGTAGACTCTGCTTTCCTCCCTTCCTAAGCCAGAGTCAGTTGCTCTGCTCTGTTTGCCAGCTGTTGATTGCTTTACCTATAGCCGGAGGATTGCACTAAGAATGGAGTGTTTTGGGAGAGCAACGCAGACTTACTGAGGCTTCTCTCCTCTCTTGATTCCAGTGACAGGAGAATCGCCTCCCAGCTTATCAAAAGAACTGACCAGCTCTTTGGCAGGCGTTGGAGATGTCAGCTTCGATTCGGATTCTCAGTTCCCTCTGGATGAACTCAAAATTGACCCTTTGACCCTAGATGGACTGCACATGCTTAATGACCCAGACATGGTCCTCACTGACCCTGCCACAGAGGACACTTTCAGGATGGACCGGCTGTAGGGTGTGGACAATGAGCCTGGGAATGGGACGTGTTCCTGGAGCCCCGCTGAACTGAAGAAGTCCAATGGGTCAGTCGTGTCAGATTGAGTGAGTTGCTGAGACCAGTAGCTCCGTCATGTACAACGTGTACAATGAGTAAAGCTTGTTGTTCTAAGCTTGCAGTGCTGCAGACCCCACTTCCCACCGCGCCATATTTTATCCCTGTTCCACTCGTTGCCATTAAATGAGCAAGGAGTTTGCATTGGCCTCCTCCCTTCCGAGCCCGCGGCACTGGAGTCCCAGCATACGGTTGTTAATTTATCCTTTGCACTAGAAATGAGGAGGGGTGGGGGTTCTGGGACGGGGAAGGTTCAGAGCCAAGGATAAAGAGATCTGTGTAAAATACCGAATGGCTGGCGGTTGACATGTTGCCGAAACAGCGTCCCCTCGCGAGGCCGAGGGAGAACCGACCGCCAGCTCCCCCGTTCACTCGAAAGCCTACGTGTTGCCTCCCTCTGGAGCCAAGGGAGGGCATCTTTTGCAGTTTTGACTCTCAGACTGCTTTGTGACAGCTGCTTTGTCGAGTAAAATGCTTCTCCCTTGATTGATATGCCATGTTTGTTTTCAGGTTCGTTCCCCAGCTGTTGTCCAGCACCCACTGCCTGTTCTCACGCCTTGAGCAAACTCATGTACTCAGCAAAGCAGGAAGGCGGCCTGGCAGCCCCATGGGCTTTTGTAGCCGGTCATCCAAAAAGACTGTAAACACTATTTTCAGAGCTGTTTCTTTTTTAAAAAAATAAAAAAAATAAAATAATAAAAAAGAGAATTTCTGAGCACACAAAAAAGTCCTATAATTCATTACCTGGTGAGCATGAAGGAATGACAAGAACTTTTTAAATCAGCTGCAGGTATCTTGGAAGCTGAGTTGCAGATGATTTTTTAATTCTCCTCTTTTGTGTAAAAGTCTTGGGCAGAGGGAAGGGCGTGTGTTTGGCACTGCCAAGTCCCAGTCCCAACAGCTATTTTTATGGGGGGGGGGTATTATTATTATTATTGTTCCTCACCCATTAAATATTCTGTTGCCGTTATTTATGGATTTTTTTTTAATTTAAGTGTTAATTTAAGAGAAGTAGCTAAACTACATAAGGCCAATCGAAACATTCTGCATAATGTTTGTACAGTACATCCTGTTGTGTTCTTAATCTGGAAAGTGTGTGTGTGTGTGTGTGTGTGTGTGTGTGTGTGTGTGTGTGTGTGTGTGTGTGTGTGTGTGTGTGTGT